TATGCTCAATAATTAGGCGTTTGTATTGTTACAAGTCTATTGTTTCAAACAAAAGAAAATAGTTATGATTCTATACGTCGATTTTTTAACGATTTATTGAACTTGTTTAGTCAGTCTAAATTATTGTTTTCATAATATTGTTGTTAAAAATTCCTGAACAGTCAGGGCAGTACTTTAGTTGTTATACCATTAACATTGTTCGTTAACGTTCACAATTTTATGTAAAAGTTGTGTATTAAAAATATGTAAACAGCATTAAAATTAAAAACATAAGCAAACAGCAAGTATGAAATTACGATGTTATCATCGAAGTTATTTTAGTAGTTAAGAAGTAAAACAATAAAAAAAAATACATCTTTTAATAATGATTTTGTTAAAACAATCTTTTTATAGTTAATTTTATCTAAATACACTAAGGTAATTTGGTTAATTGTAGCCTAGTTTTGAAAGCAAACTGTTTGTTATAAAAGTTAATAATAAAATTAGTATTAATATAATTAAATCGAAACAGTTTGTATCACGTTAAAATGATTAAACTATTTTTAAATTATTATGTTATGTTAATAAATAAAATTTTTTTTTTATTTATTAACATAACATAATAAAAGAAGACAAAAAAAAGCGGCATGCCGGAGAAAACGAAAAATATATATATTAAAGTTGAAACAAAATGAGCAAAGAATTTAGACTCTGAATGGTAAGATTACTAACTGAAATATAAAGTATAAAACTTGACTAAAATATCCAATACATTAATCTTTCTTAAAAAGCTCTCTTTATGTGTTAATTTTATTGTTGACTTTTACTTAAAAACAGGAAGTATTTGTCTAAGTATTATAAAAAATCTGTTATTATATTTTTGTATTTGTAATTAACATCATTTATTTATGTTTGATTTAAACAATAATTTGCAAGCACATAAATTAATTTATTTTTACAAAAATCACTTTACAGAATTGTCTTTTAAATCGCTCGCTGATTTTGGCGGTTTCTTTGATGTAAAACAAAAGGTTGCAGGGTCCATGCAAAGGTCCATCTCTTATACGTCCATGGTAATATTAATGATATTTTTTTGTAAACGATCAGTTTGCGAGCCAGTTTTTTTCCGGATTACCATCAGACTGTCGTCACGGTATAATCCAATGTCATCATTGTTTACTATTGTGGATAGCGAGTTTAGTATATAGAGAAGCACTAGATCACAAGCTTCGACACCATCAAAACAGCCCATGGAGACATCAAAACACTCGTGTTCTAAGTTTTTTTTCCACGTTTCGTTAATATAATATATATTTCGCCATAAAGAAAATATTTACAAAATTAGACTTTAAAAACTGTATATACACGGCTGGGGCAAGAAGAAGACAAATTCAGTCTTATCGCCAAGCCCCTTCAAACAAGAATACAAGTAACAAACAAAACAAAAAACCAAAAAACCAAAAAAAATCCGTTATCACAATATAATATATGCGTAAGGTACATATATAAATACAAATATCGAAATATTTTTCATTAAAATTTAATATTTTTTTTTATTTTTTTTTTTTTATTAGGATTTCAAATTTTAATAGTAAATAAAAATGAGATAAAACATGATAATTTAAGAAGGTAAAGATTCAAATTAAAATCAAAAATTAATATGTTAAAAATAAATTAAATATCAAATAAAAAACAAGTGATTACTCCTATTTAAAAGTTTCAGAAGAAGTCAAGTTCATAGTCAATTATCAAAAGTTTACTTTTTACTTTTTTTTTAATTGATCAAGGAAAAAAAATTTTTTAAACTCATTATCCAATAGGGTGTTCCATAATTTAGGTCCTCTGATTGCTATCGAGAACCTAGTCGCAGAATAAAATTTTTTTGGTTGAATATAATTGTTGTTTGAAAATCTTGTTGAGTATAAATTATTTATTTTTTCGAAAAATGAATTAAATAAAATGGGTGCCATTTTATTATCTACTTTGAACATAAATATAAAAATATGATATAGGTTAAGTTGAAATACGTTAAGTATTTTGAATTTATTAAAAAGCCATGTGTGCGAAAAGCGATTCACATTTCCAATAATTCTTAGAGCGTGTTTTTGTATAATTAGAAGCCCTTTATTTTTAGATACATTAGTGCTGCACCAAGCAACTTTAGCGTAACTTAGATAGCAATGAATAAAAGAAAAGTAAATAAGTTTCAAACAAGTTTGGTTCAACAACTGTTTTGCTTTGTATAAAAGGCCTATATTTTTCGAAATTTTATTTTGGATTATTCGTATGTGCTCCTTCCATGTTACGTTTTCATCTAAAACAACGCCTAGAAACAACAAAGAACTCTCTCTTTTGACATTAAGAGTTATTAATAAAAAGCTTAGGAAGTTGTAAGGGTATGTTGTCTTTATCATGAAGACGATGGAAGAAAGTATATTTTGTTTTTTAATATTTATGGACAATTTATTTGATATAAACCATTCGCTTAGTTTCACAAGCTCCTCGTTCACTGTTGTAAATAAAAAATTAATATCTTTATTTGAATAAAATACGTTAGTATCGTCAGCAAATAAAATTGAATTTAAGATATTGGAAAATTTACTCAAATTATTTATATAAATGAGAAATAAAAGCGGTCCTAGAATTGATCCTTGAGGGACTCCGCAGGTAATTGTCATCAAGTCTGTTTTCTCGCCATCATATAAAATGCATTGTTTCCTATTCTTTAAATAACTCTTAAACCAGCCTAAGTTAGAATTTATGATACCATAATTTTTAAGTTTATAAAGAAGAATATTATGATCTACGGTATCAAACGCTTTGCTCAGATCATTAAAGACACCTAAAGTAAATTTTTTTTTCATCAAACGCTTTAAAAATTTCATGCACAAGATTAATTATTGCGTGATCGGTCGAATGACCGGATTTAAACCCGAATTGTTTATTGTAAAGAATATTATTTACATTTAAGAAAGAATAAAGTCTATTATACATTATACGCTCCAAAATCTTTGAAAAACAATTAAGAAAACAGAGATCGGTCTGTAGTTGGAAACATCAGAAGGATCACCTGTTTTAAAAATTGGTGTAACTTTTGCATCCTTTAGTTTTTCAGGAAAAATTCCATGTTTTAAAGATAAATTAAAAATATGTAAAAGTGGTATTGTTATATATTTTAGTGACTTAATAATGACCATACTGCTGATATCATCTAAACCGGAACTTTTGTTAATTTTTAACAAAGAAACTGAATTTAATAATTCTTCCTCTTTAAGTTCATGATTTGGCATAACATCATTAGTTGATGTCAAGTATGATTTAAAAATTATTTGAGATGGTTCAATTTTTTCAGCTAAACTTTTACCAACATTAACAAAAAAGTAATTTGCGTTTCAGCCACCATTGATTTATTAAAAACTAATTTATTATTTAATTTGAGATTTTTTGGCAGAGCATTTCTATCTAAATCTTTTTTGCCAATAACTTCCGTAATAATGCGCCATGTGTTTTGCGAACCATTACTTTTTATTATTTGATCTGAATAGTAATTAGCTTTTGAACGTCTCAAAGTTGACTCAAATAAACGTTTATAATTTTTATAGTTAGTTTCATTTTGTAGTGTTTTTTTTTAAGATATTTACAATATAATCTCTGTTTTATTTTTGAAGATTTAATAATTCCCTTTGTTATCCAAGGTCTCATAAAAGTTTTTTCTTTTAATAATTTTGTAACTATGGGAAATGCTTTGTTATAATATTGAAGAAAATTATTTAAGAAGATATCATAGGCCTCATCAGCATTTCGTTGTTAAAAAATAGTAAGGACTTTCTGCAATAGTTAATGACTCTAATGCTCTCTTCTCTGATGTTTGTGTTTTTGAGAGAACTGTATTGCATTGCTTATTATAATAGGTGTGATATTAAATTAAAAATCAACAATGTCAAACTGGAGGAAAACGCAGTATTTTTTTTTTTTTTTTTTGTATATTTTTAAACTACTGGATTGCTTCGGAGGTGCCTTCTTATCGGTTTAAATTTAATTTAATTTTAACTTCTTTATTTAATTTATCAAAGCATTTTTTGCTTATGTTGTCGAGTTCAGATTTTGTGGGGTTTAACAGACAAAAAGGTTTATTGTTTTGGAATGACTCTTTGTGGTCTTTTAGTATAATGATCGTTTGCCTAAGTTGAATATGTTAATGGATTGTTCAAGTTTTTGAGGGGCTTTTTTGTACGCTTTTGTTATATTTTCCTCGAGGAGTTTTGCGTGTTCTTGAGCGGAGACTTAATAAATATTGTTGGTTTTTGTCTGCTAATAGTTTGAATTGCTTTTTATTCTTAATATAAAGTTTGTCAGGGTTTTTGCTCTGAAACTCATTGTGTATCTTTTTAAATTTTATAAAGTTTATTAAATTTATTAAATCGTTTTCAAAATTTTCTAAAGTTTTGCATTGGGGTGGTGTGTTCTTCGTTTTAAAACCAAACGAATTATTTGTTTTTTGTCTTGATTTATTTCTATTTATATAAAAAAATGTTTTCCAGCGAATTTTTTTTCATAAAGTTTTCTGTTTTTTTGTTTTATTACCTGCAGCTTGTAACTGTTTTTGTCCGAAATCGGTTCATTTTTTTAACAAGAAGTTACAATGAATTTTCTCCATGGTTTGGAATTAATGCAAGAGAGTGTTTAACCGTACTTGATTTGAACAAAATTTGTTCTTAATATTCTATTGTGCTTTGGAATTGGTGTTATGTACACGAGTTCTATCTACTAAAAGAATTAATTATAAAAATTTAATTTTTAACTAAGTTAGCTTGCTAAGTGGTTGATTTGATGAATTTTGTCTTAATCAAACAAGTGATGATTTTAAATTTATCAAAAATTAATTATTAAACTTAATGAATGGATCTTGCACAGTATCATATTGATACGCAGGTCGAGCTAGTAATAGTTGCGCAGTTGACGCGTAGTTGTCTATAGCAATATCGAAACATTAAAATGTTAAGAAGTTTTTTTATCATTTACATAAGAACCTTGTTAATCAAATATTCAAATTTTAATAAAATAACTAACGACTCTTAGAAATTTGTCTACCAACTCAAAAAGTTTCTAAGAAGATGAAAGATTTCAAGATGATGAACATAATAACACTAACCATTCTTTGGATTATAGTAAGCTAACTCTTTTTGAAAATGTAAATTAAGGTTTATATAATTTGTATATATATATATATATATATATATATATATATATATATATATATATATATATATATATATATATATATATATATATATATATATATATATATATATATATATATATATATATATATATATATATATATATATGTATATACATATATATATATATATATATATATATATATATATATATATATATATATATAATATATATATATATATATATATATATATATACACACACATATATATATATATATCTCTATATATATATATATATATATATATATATATATATATATATACATATATATATATATATATACAGGGCTGGCGCATATATATATATATATATATATATATATATATATATATATATATATATATATATATATATATATATATACATATATATATATATATATATATATATATATATATATATATATATATATATATATATATATATATATATATATATATATATATATATATATATATATATATATATACAGGGCTGGCGCGAGTAGTTGTAGGCCGACATTTGCCGACCGTCTAGATTACCGACTAACCTATATCGAAAGGGTAGACATTTGCCGACTAACTAGTCTAAAAGGGTCTAATTTGCCGACTAAAAACCTTTGATGGGGGGGGGGGGAGGGGTTTCACACACCCCACACACCCCTATCGCGCCGGCCTTATATATATATATATATATATATATATATATATATATATATATATATATATATATATATATATATATATATATATATATATATATATTGTCTAAAGCGGGTGAACTCGTTACGGAGCGAATCCGTAAGTCTTTTGCTCAGCTTAATAATAATAGTAGTGTATAAGAACTAAGTAATTCGTTTACTAGGTTTTTTAAAATTTTTTTAAAAACTATTTAAAAAAATTTCGTTTGTTTGTTTTCTAATTATTGCGAGTAAACAATGAAGCTAAAAAATATATATTACTGCCTCAGTATCGTTAAAAAAAAGACAAAATACGCAATGTTGTAATCGTATATTATATAATTTTTAATTGATTTATGTCAGTTTTTGTAAAATAATGAACTCAAGTTATTATATTTTTTGTTTTTGTTTGACTACTCCATCTCTTAAGAGAATACTGAATATAAACTATACTAATTCTGATAATGCTGAATATAAATCACACAAATTTATAAACTTCAAAAAACAGTTTGAAAGAAAAGCAAATTGTGCTCAAAATGCAATATTTTTAAGCAACGTGCTTCAAAGTTTTAGATATTAGCTCTAAAAGACACAAGTTTTTTAAAAGCTATTAGTTTACAGCTAGGTTTTATATTGAAATTTTTATTTTGCAACTTTAATTATTTCAATTTTTTGTATTTTCTAAATTTTGTAATGATTTACAATTATTTTATGAGCAGCTAGACAGCAAAATTACCAGAATGTAATTTGTAACTGTGATGAAACAGGAATTTCATGAGCTTAGCGTCTTTGAAAAAAGTGGCTTTATCATAGAGTTCTTGTCAGATGTAAAAATTAACCGTTAGTTAACGTAACTAATAACATAGCTATAACATTCCGTATTTTTTTTTTTATCAATATATTAACATATATTTAACATAATTGTATAGAGCTTAAAAAGACTTAAAAAATGAGGGGTTATTTATCTTTAGAAGTTAATTGGATCCAAAGTTATTGCATTTTAACAACGTTTTTATAAACTTCCTTTCTTGCGTGTGTGTGTGTGTGCTTGTCCGTCCGGTTGTCAAATTTTGACTTAATAAAATCCAATGCATTTTGACCAATAAAATCCAATCCATTTTGACAAAAATCCAATCCATTTTGACCAATAAAAACACTTGTAGAATTTGAACCACTCAATATAATTTGATAAAACTTAGTGCAAATGTAGCCAATAGTCTCACCAAACTCTGGACAAATTTTCAGCCTGATTGGATGACTAGAGTAGAATTTATTGCAATTTTAGTTAAAGTTTTGTCAGTTTTTTGCTACTTATACCTCAAAGCGTTACCGATTACTTTGAAATTCGGTCACTATTTTTAAAATAACGGTTACATAAGTGTTCTACTATGTAATACCAACAATTTTTGTAATAATTATTTTATCAGTACATGTACAGTTTTCATTTTATAAGTGATTTTCTACTTAGTCTTTAGTAACAGTATCGACACGGCCTTCAAAGTGGAGGGGTTAAACCCCTCAATTTCTAAAATAAAATCCATAATTTCTAAAATAATTTCTAAAACAAAAGTTAAAAAACTCCTTGCAAAAAAAAAGTAGAGAAGGACATGACCCCCTAGCCTTGCCGGCGAAAACAGCCATGTATGCTTCGCTTGAATATACCAACATTTCCTAAGGTATAAACTGATGCCAAAAAAAAAGCTAAAAAAAGTGCAAAACATGGTCAAAGGACTACCATTTAGTAAACCAAAAAAAAAGTAGATCTAAAATATTTTGTATTGACCTCCTTCAATACATTTACTTTTAAAATGAAGTGAAAACTATTTAAACCCAATTTTTTTTACATTGTATTACCATCAAATATCTGATTACATTTTAAGAAATATTTTTTTGATTTTCTCCACCAAAAGATTATTAATAAATAGCAAATAATGCAATCTTTTAATACAAATACTCTATAATACTACATATAAAGATGGTAAAAATATTCATTATACGGCGTAAAATATGAATTTCAGCAGCCTAATTTCTAATAACTCAAATGATTTTCTTTAAAGAAGCTTACTGTTTAGATCAATTATGCAGCGCAACAATCTTTTTTTGTACTCTGGATGATTATTATTTTGTTTATACCTCGACCAATGTTGATAAAAATCTTGATGAGAAATTTCGACAGTTTGTTCACTATATGGCGTGAATTTTGGGTGTTATGCTTGCACCAGTTGTCATTAGGTAACACTTTTTAAAATTTTCAATTTTTTCAACGAAATCCGGCTGAAGGATGTATCCAAAACAAGCCTTGACAACTAAATTGAAGCTTTTGAATGCTTCAATTATGCACACAATATTGGGAACCATGTTTGTCTCAGCAAGTTGCTGCAGCATATCCACATTTTTAAGAAACTTACTGCATTCATTTAACTCAAACTAGCCCCCGTGATACGGGCTCAGTTAACTGTGGAGGGCGGCTAGCCACTTAACAGCTTCTATCTAATCAGTTTTAAGGATCTTAAAAAGATGGTTGACAACTCCTAAGAGGAGATGCAATTCTATTCTATCGGTGGAATGATTTCCAAAATCAGAATATTGACAGGCCCGCAGATGATTGGCTTTCAAATGACATTGCCAAATAGTTTTGCATAAGCAACAACCCTCTGCCAGATTGCTGAAAAGACTCAAGGCTTGAATAAATTGAACCGAGTGTTTTCAAGTTTCCAGATTTGGCAAGACAATTGGATTTGATGTCACACCAGCCCAAGTAGCACACATACGTTGTTAAAACATTAGAACAATGTCGCGCGTTTCGTTGGCCCAACATCGGTTGCCAACGTTGTTTTTATATCATTATGATTACAAATGCGACGTCGCCAACAACTAAAAACCAATGTTGATAAAATTTTTATTTAAAGTCGGAAAATGGTAATATTTTCTACGTTGATTCAACGTTTTATTTTATACATTTGCACAACGTTTTATTTTAAGTTGGCACAACGTTGTATTTACGTTAATTCAACGTTGAACTTTATTTGGCAAAACGTTGTATATATGTATATATATATATATATATATATATATATATATATATATATATATATATATATATATATATATATATATATATATATATATATATATATATATATATATATATATATATATATATATATATATATATATATATATATATATATATATATATATATATATATATATATATATACTCTTGGATGTGACTTTTTAATTACTGTAACAGTTTTTTTTTTTTTTTTGTAGTTTTTATATTGAAAATAATGATTGTTTTGTATATTTTGTTTCGTTTATTTTAATATGTTTTAATTGTGTATTTTGAGTATATATTAATTAAGAACAGATTTTTATTTGGTGATTATAATATAAGTCTGCTATGTTAATACAAGGCAGCGTTACCATAATAATTGTTTTCAATCAATATAAGCTATCTCATCGTCTTTATATTCGGTATTAGAAATTGTGGTTCTAGCTTCATTGTTTGTTTTGCTATTATTTTGTTGTATTTCTGTTTTGTTATCTAAAGATTTTAATTCGTTTGTATTTATGTTGCTATGTAGTTGTGAATTATCTGTATGATCAATCGTTTCTAGAATTATTTTCTCTGGTTCATTGGTATTATTACTTTCATTATGTTGATGGTCGTTTATTATTATCTCATTTTCACTACTTACTTCCTTATTTATCCGACATTCCATGTTTTCTTCCATTTGCTTTTCAACACAGGGTATTTTTAATTTTATTTCTTTATAGGATATTTCATATTGGATTTAATTTATCTGGGTTTTTAGTTCGTGTTCAATATTGTTTTCAAGTAAGGTGGTTGTTGCATATTTCGTTTGAATTTTACTTTAGGTTTCACCTCCTGTTTCATGCTGTCCATTGTGTATAATTCTGACAATATAATTTCCGAATTTTATTGTCTTCGGTATCGGGTTTACTAGTTTATCCATCATAGCTACCAGGATCCCTGAGTAGTATGATGTATTAGATTTCGGGGTTGTTTTAAGTACAGGTCTTGTATGTATATATTTTCCATACCCGAGTTCTTCCAGAGCCTTCCCGACTTGGAAATTTTTCTTCTCTAGAGGAAGCCCGCGTACGGAAACCGCAACCCGTGTAGAGATGTTTCTGGATGGAGTCGAATTAAAAAATTGATGTTGAATACCATTAATAATTAGTCCTTTTTGTTGTAGAAGTGATTTAGCTTTTTCAGTTTTTAATACTATTTTAACCATC